ATATATATATACAGTATATATATATACACACCCACCAGGGTCTAGGGTTCATTTCCTGTAATTCATTTTTCTCACGACTAAGATCAACTCCACTCGCTAACCCCCACTGCCGAACTAATTGCTCTTAGATGCGAATGAAATGGGCCTTAGAGCGATGCGTAATTTAACTAACGTGTATAAAAAAAAAATCACATGAGGCATTTTATTTTTGCAATTTGCTTTTTATTATGACTATTTAGAAATAGTTCCATTCGTCATATTTGAATCAATTAAGAGATTAAAAATTGTTGCATTTACAATCATTCATTATTTCAGAAAAATTTGCACAGTATTGATCAATTTCACATAACCACAATTAAATACAAGCAAGGGATCAATTTTGAAAGACTAAAATGGAAGATACTAAATTTATAACCAAAGGGAACTGTAACATCATGTCCCTAAATGTTTTGGACAACATGGACATTTACGAAATGTCAATGACACTTAATAACTGGCCAATTAGAACAAGACCTAATTGGTCAGCTGAATTAAGGAACCTTCCCTAATGCATTGGGGACAGTTACTCGGTGCAACAATTGCAGTTAAAAAAAAAAAAAACCTGTAGTGACAGTGTAGCAATTGTATGGAAACCAATTTTAATACTGTCACATTTTGAGAACCTAGCAACAACAGTGGCAGATACAGAAATTCAAAATAGAAGGGGCCCATGCCAGGATTTTCACAGACGGGAGTTGTTATGATTATGACACCTCTAAATGGCCGGAAATGGCACTCTCAAACCTAAATTTGATTATAATTTTCCATTTGTTCATATTAAAAATTTTTTTTTTTTTTTTTTGGGACGGGGAACCTTCCTAACCCCCTTGAATCCGCCACCAAACAATATCATAGGGGCTGAAGCTTCGGTAAGGTCCTTGCAGAATATTTTATCAAGCTGCAACAGGCTAATACTGCGTCATTATTACTACAACTTATAGACAAAGCAAACTAAACTAAAATTGAAAAATCAAATATAAGTATTTTAAAGGAATAAAATAAGATGTACAGAACACATAAGCTAAACAATATATTTTTTGAAAACAAAATATATGAAGAAACCCTAAAAATGAATTAGAAAATTGTACTCGATAAAAATAGCTCTTTACTGAAGGACAGGAAAATGCAACAACCATAAATTATAGTGTAACATATATAGAAAATTATATAATATAAAGCAAATGTTTTTAATTAAGGTTATATATAGGTTATATATTGAGGTAGAATTTGCTTTATGGCAAAGCCAGTTGTAGATACATGAATACACACTGACAATGGGCAGGAAAGCTGCCCACTCTTAGCTGTAAGTAGGCTACGCCTCTAGCTTAGTATTCACTTGGCAGACCATGGCATTTAGAGGCTACTTTTCATCACTCTGTGATGCTGATATTAGGCCTTAAATTAAAAAAAGCAATACAGTAATAAGAATTATATTCACCTGTTAATGCAACATAACAATATATAAACGGAAAGATACATGAAAAAATATTTAAAATACATTTTGTTACATCGATATGAGGATAAAATTGCCACAAGGGCAATAAAAGTAAAGAAGATTTACCCGTTTGGGATACAAAAACAAAAGGTATGAAAAATGCATAACCATTATAAACAACCTAATATAATGTGCTAAAATAAATGTCAATCTATGTGTATATTTATATGTCAGAATTCTCTAATTAGAAAATGTTTTTGTAATAATAAATGGTCTCAATTAATTCGGTACCAGTAAATGCCACAATGGCAATAAAAATAAAGATTTACCCTTTTAGGATACAAAAAAAAATATGAAAAATCCATTATCGTTAAAAATTTAAGTAATAGGGTATTCCACTGCAATTAATTACAAACAACTTGAAAATACAACAGTTTTTATAAAATTCAAAATATTATCAACATGCAAAAAGCATTTTAAAAATTTCACTTCAACAGCTGAATTTTAAGTGCAGCAACTAACAAAATCTTTTTAAAGATATTGCTTAAAATTACTTGCATTATGTATTTAGGGAAGGGGGGGGTTTGTTTTAGGACTAGATGATCCCTTTTTGGAGCGTTTGTGAGCAAATGCGAGACTGAAACCAACTTGAATTTCAGTCCACAAGCACAGCCGCAGTGACATTATATTCAATTTCAACCTTAAACATAATTTCTAAGTTCTATATCATATGATACACAGTTCAAAAAAGAACTTAGAAAATATCTCAAACTTTTAGAACAAATTGCAGTATTTCACAAAATAAAAAATTAATAATAGCATCGACTGGTGTGCATTTTGCTATATCGCAAAAAGGCCGGATAAAATAATAATTTTAGTTCAAATAGGCCCTATCTAAAGTAGATAAATGCCAAATAGCTTTTCATTAATAACTTGGTGGTTGAGGTGCTTTCCTCTCAACCACAATAATCTGGGTTCAATTTCCAATAATGCTACAATTTAATTGTAACAAGTAAAACAACTCTCCTCCTTACGCCACTTTATTGACTTAATGTTTAGAGTATCATATTAAACATACTTAAGCGGACACACATTATTCAGCTGATCTTCTGGGCCTAAAAGGGCCATTTATAATATGATTGACATAATTACAACAAAAAAAAAAGTTACATTCTTTCTAGAAAAATCTAAATGTGCTCATATTTCTTTTTTATAACAGTCATGTAACAGCAATATTTCATTCAAATAATTCTTACATTCCAAAGGGTGTATCTTTAAAATATATATGCTATGCCACGATCACAAAGAGCAAATTAAGGATGTTTATATCATAAACTAGCAATGAAGGATGAATGAGTCTTCACTCTGGATTAGCACTTGGAAATGTGGCAGTGTCATATTAAAATGCCTCTTAAGCTAAATTGAATAAAACATTGAATAATTTTTGCTAAACACTTTGGTTTATCTTTAGGGTACATCAATGAATTAAACACTTGTTTAAATCATATCATCAGTTTTTAAGTTTAGATAAACTGTTCATGCTCAGAAATGCAATTATTACGCTTGTTTACGCTATTTCATAATCAGTTTTTGACTGAAGTTTACATAAAACTATTATGTACAACTAAATAAAAAAATTGGACTATAGTCACAAATAAACAGATTATGAGATACACAATTACACCAAGCATATGTTGGAAGTATATGCTACACAAGTGTAAAATTGCATTGAGCATGAGCAAAATGTGGGTTTGTAATGGAACAGTTTTTCCAAATATCTAATTAAGCATTAACTATAAATTTTGACATTTCACCTTGAAGACAATTCTACAATAACATATTTGGCACTTGGAGAAAATGTTTAAGACAACAAACATTACAAATACAAACATATAATACAGTGACAGAAACACTGACATTTTAGAAACATTTGCTTTTTGCAATTGAGATTTCAGTAAGATACCTTATAAACTAGACATACATTAAAAGATTGTTTCCAGTCTGACTCAACAATATCTGACCAGAAATTGAGCATTCACAAGTATTCTCCAAATCCCTTCAGATCAACAGACACATAATTTGACTGAAAAAAGCACTACCACACAAAGTCTGATAAGACTTGGGTAGTTTAGTCTGACAGAGTATTCCTAGATTTTGTATAATATCAACAATTTTTTGCTGTCATACAAGACACTTTTAAAACCATACAACACATGTTTTCCTTTCACACTGCATACTTCTTTAGCATCGCTAAAACGTCCGGGTAGAGTCTTGACGCGGCATCCATGCCCCAGACAAAGTCTAAATGATCGTAGTCCTGTAATCGTAAGTTCCGTACAACATTTTTAAGCCTAGGTGTGACATCATCAACATCAGTTGGGTCTGCAAGCCAGTCTTCACCACCGGAGTACAGAGCAACTGGAACTTCCATGTTGTCCACTGAATATAAGGGTGGTGTGTCCTAGATTGTGGAGTAATGGAACAAAACAATAAATAAAAAAAAACACACATAATACATGAAACACAATTAGAGTGTAAGTAAATAAATTTCTTTGTTTCACCATAGAAATATTGAAGAAAGTTGAAATATTTATGTATACAATTTTGAACCAAAATCACAACAAAAATACATTTACCTGGTTGTACTTCTTCAGGTTTCCACCTGCTCCATAGTCATACATCTGGAAGTTTCCAGCACGCACCATCTGAAGTAAAAATTTAAACAATGCCATGTATAATTATCTAGCAAATAAACAAATTTCAATATTATCCAGAGGCAATGGAACTAGAGTGAGGTATGTGACAATTCATATAGGAGCATGGCACATATAGGTTGAGTGGGAAAAGATGCGATAGACAAAATGCAGTTGGTTGATCAGTCCTGATAAAATTGAACCAGGAATCAAAGAACTGGAAGGATCTACACGTTTCAGCACACAATCAGTGGCTAGTTTAGCAGACTGAGCTAAGCCGCTCTCTACAACAAAATTATATGAATACCATACCTGAGCCCAATGGAGCACGTCTTGTACACTGGTACCGGCTGGACAGTGAGTGTAGTAAACTGGGAGACGAGTCTAAAGAAAAGGTTAAAAAATCAGTTATGCACACTAATGTCAAATTTAATACACCCTGGGTATTGGGATTTGATGTACTAGTACTTGGAATATAGAATTTAATGTACCCCTGGATATTTGAATTTGATGTACTGGATAGAGAATTTGCTGTACTATGGATATTTGAATTTGATGCACCTGGAATATTTAAATTTAATGTACTCTGAATTTGATGTACATCTATTAAAGGAATATCAAGTATGCAGCAGGAAATAAGAGCTTTGGACTTCTAATTGAAGTGTTTCAGTTGTTCATTTATTTTATAGCCATGACTGGTAACAAATACCACATTTTGGTTTGTTCCTGTAAGGTGGTACATAAATCTCAATAGTTACTTCGAAATACAGCATGCAATTTCTTCAACTCTGTACCAAGAATATTAACAATCACCACAGTCTAGCTTCATATAAAAATCATTAGCATCCCATCACACCATATAATTTTTCTGGGTAGCCATTTTAATCATTGTTATCTGATTACTCCTAATTTTCTAATTTAGTTGTGAGAGTGTAAAGAAGTGTAGTGACCCACGCTCTATGTTCAATCACACAGTTTCTACCACTAGACCATTACAACCACACTATCTGTAAAACAAACTGTAGCCCTATAACTTACCTGGTTTAGGTTCTTTGCATCGTATCCGCAAAGAACAAAAATTATATTTTTACAGAACATGTACTCATTAGGTTTGTTGCAAATATCTTTGGCAATCAGATCAATTAACTCTGTGTTTGGTAAGAATTCTTTGATGCCAAGTATATCAAGAAGAAACTGAAATAAATTATAATACATCAGTGATTACTCAATATTAATATAAAAAGAGAAGTGATCTGATTCTAATCTATACTTACTTGTCCATTCAAGCACCATCGATATCATACCATGGAGGTATAAAACAAATTTATATTACACCTCCATGATTATACCAGTATAATACAATATTGGTATATTTTAATCATAATTTATATCACTATTATGATATATATTTATTGATTCAGTTGGGCATTTGTATTGTACTGAAGTCAATTACCAAAAAATATAAAAGACAGTTTGATTTATAGATAAAAACACAAATGTTATGTATATGACAATAAAAGATAAATAACAGCAGCACTTTTGAGACTAACAAATAGAATTTATTCTCTAGCTTTCGTCCACACAGTGGACTTCATCAGGAGAACAGTCTATTTGTTAGTCTCAAAAGTGCAGCTGTTATTTACTTTATATTGTTCTATACTGTATCAGATTAACGCGGCTATACTTTTTATCATTATGTATATGACGAAGCTCAATGTGTTATATTGTTTGTGATATATTAAATAGCCCTAAGATGGAATCTAAAGTGAGCCACATAATCCAATTATTGATTATTAGGTTTACCTGTATTTCTGGTAGGAAGTGTGAAAGATAGGCTATAGGACTCTCCATGTTCGTGACATTTGCTACTGGTGCAAGAGCTACAAACAAATTAATCTAAAAAAAAGTATACAAATTTGAACAATAATAAAAATAAGAACAATATCAACAGCATGTAACAAAAACAAACAATACCAATGGCATGGCAGCAGCAACACCTACAACATCAGCAATACAATAGAAGCAGCAACAACATCAACAGCACCACCACCAGCAACAACAGCAGTAGCAACAACACCAACTGCAGCAGCAACATCAACAACACCAACAATGCCAGCAATACTAACAGCAGCAGCAACACCTACGTCAGCAACATAACAGAAGCAGCAACAATATCAACAGCACCACCACCATCAACAACAGCAGTAGCAACAACACCAACTGCAGCAGCAAAATCAACAACACCAACAATGCCAGCAATAATAACAGCAGCAGCAACACCTACGTCAGCAACATAACAGAAGTAGCAACAATATCAACACCACCACCACCATCAACAACAGTAGTAGCAACAACACCAACTGCAGCAGCAACATCAACAACACCAACAATGCCAGCAATAATAACAGCAGCAGCAACAACAACACCAACAGCAACAACACCAACCATGCCAGCAATAATAACAGCAGCCGTAATACCAACAACAGAAGTAACAGAAATACCAACAAACAGTAGCAACACCACCAACAAAAGCAGCAACAACAACATCAACAACACTAGCAACATCAGCAACAACAGTAGCAGCACCAACAACAGCAACACAACCAACAATTATTAACTACTACCACTACAAATGAACATGACAGTGATGATAACCACAGCGGGCAAGACGACTGAAACGTTAATAATTTAATACAATTCAATGACAATTATAATTATTATCATCAACATTCCATGTTATTAGAAAAGCGAGATATAAACTCAAACCTTTTCTGCAAGTTGCTGATTATTTGAGAATGCGATGAATCCCATTGTGGTTCCCTGGGAATGGCCTACATAAGATAGCTTCTTCTGATTTGATACTTTTAAAACATAATTTACCATCGATGGTAAGTCATATGCTGCCATCTCATCAAAACTGTCACAAAAGAATTTTATCACAAAATTAGTGGTGTTGTATTTTTTTTTAAATTTTGAAATAACAGTGATTTGAACAATACAACTACAGTACAGTAGGGCAGGCAGTAATGCAGTTAGAATTTACTGGTCACAGCTCTATTAAACAAATATGTTTTACAGACAAATGCTTCAATTTGACAACGGTTCTACACGAATAGCTATAGTAGGTCTACAAGTAGAAAAAAAGCACTGACAATTACCCAATAAAGACAAAAGGGAAAAACCCTTTTGTATTACAACATCATGCATAGTGACTTTCAGCAGCAATTTGTAAGAGTTTCTATTCCCTTGTCTGTGATTGGACAGTTATCTGTACTCCCTTATTAGGGATGGCTTATTTACTGAGTGCAGTGATGCATAGTATTTGGTTGACATTAGCGTGTATCACCAACATGACTAATTTTCATAAGACAGTTTACGGTAATAAATAACACATACTGTAAGGACATAAATTGACAGAAAATTAGGCATAGTTAAACTTTCACAATTTCTTAAAAATGTTTTTTGGGTGGCATGGCATACAGTTTGATTTTTAACAAAATACTTATAGTTTTCATTGAATGTGAATATAAGTGACTAATGCAGACACATCTACCCAGGTATAACAGTGATGGTAATGAAAAATAAACCCACAAAAACTACATATTGTACTATATTCCAAAAGTTAAATTTAAAAATAGTGTGTAAAAACAGAAATCATAAATTTAAATAGAATTTATGATACTGAACAACTTCGTAATTTAAGTAACTGTTAATCATGAGCAAATATTAAAAAAAAACCAAAAAAACCACATTTAAATCATGTCTAAAAACAATTAATAGTTAAATTTACCTCCAAGCCCAAAATGCATTTTGATCAGGTTTCAAATACGTGTGGTTTTTTGAATACGTATTACCACGTACATTTCCTAACCACACGTCAAATCCTGCATCAGCGAGAATATAACCAAGACTCTCGTTCCTAAGGTTTGTCAACCAGTTAGTGGATGCACATAGCAGACCGTGCTGTAAGAACACAACTGGACGACCTTGTTTCGGTGGTTTTTCGTTCCTCCCGTACGGAATTCTCTGCAATCCCAGAATGAAGCCGTCGCTTGTATTTACATAATGAGCTTCTGCTGGATATCCTTTACTTGTGATCAATTGTATCTGAAAAAAAAGGAATTATATTCCTAACTTTAAATAATTACAATATTTTTGTTGTTGGATCATAAGATCTAATGTGTGCATCAATAACAAGAAATGTTTTAACTCTGCAGCAGCTTAAAGGCTGACAAAAACAAATTAGAATTAATATTTTATTATAAAATTCTTTAGTATAATTATGTTTACAATATAATAAAATGTATACAATACAGTTGAAGGTGGAACTATTGCAAAAAAGATTGCCCATTCTAGTAAGAAATCATTCCATTTGATAATATCATTAAATTTTTATTCATTTCCCCCCGAAATTTGATATTAATTGCTTGTGTAACAATCTCTATTTAGAAGTACTGTGCAGTAGTAACAATAATAGTTTTGCCAGCACCTAAATGGTTACCTAAGCCAAGGAGAATAGTTTAATAATTATATAGACAGTAGGCCTAAGCCTACCCACAAAAGTCTCTTTTGTTGATCTCTAAACTGACATTGTAAAATTAATAACATGTAATACAAGATCCCACTGATAACTTTATGTGTTCCATTGGATATTATTAACTTGTGTTTGCTGGTATTTATGTTTACAATGGAGTGTACTTATGTGTCCTCCTAGTAGACATAGGTTGGCATGAACTTTCCGGCCAGTCTCCAAAATATTTATCAAACCTAGTCAAAGAAGGATAGGATAGGATAGGTTCGGTGAGATACACACAAGGATAACCCACACAAAGTGCTGAGACTTATTTCCAGTGGGATCCTTCTAGTGGTGATTGGGCAGTGTTCTGTGTTCTTTAATGTGCACATGGACGATATTACAGACAGGCCTAAATGCCTCTTCCGAAAGACTGTGCGCTTTTATGCTCGTACTTCAGCCCTCCAGCGAAAACACAAGAAGAGCAGCGATAACCCACCGGGTTTTACACCGGGAGACAATACCCTACTCTTTTCTAAAGAGTGTACTGTGTTCTTAAATGTGCACATGGGCCATTTTGAACATGGGTATGGGACCAACGGCTTAAAAGTCATCCGAAAGACGGTGTGCTTTTTAAATTTGCATTTCAGCCCTCCAGCTGAAATACAAGGAGAGCAGCGATGAGAATTGAACCAGAGACCACAAGATCTCAACATGGTTCAGCACAACACACATTGGCTACCACCAGTTTAGCCAACTGAGCTAGCTGGTTTTGTGATATTTTTCCAAAGTATCAACTTAAATTATGGAAAGTTGTAATTTACACTTCAAATGGCATAGACCTCAGAAAGCAAAGCTTGCAACAAGAATGCAAACTTATGCAAACACATATTTATATATATAGAAAAAATAATAATTCAGTACTACTAAGGATAAACCCCAGAAAGCAAATCCTGCAATGCAAACTCAACCTACACATATTTTTTTTTGCAATTTTCTATGGTAAACATATGAAAGAACATAGTAACATTGCAATTGAAATAGTATTATTAGTATTGGAAATTAATCTTTTGGTACATGTAGTCCTTATGAGTGTCAGTCTAGCTAGCTAACGGTATATTTAAAACATGGATAGCACCTCCTGGACTGTCTCTTATACACATCTAGATGTGTATAAGAGACAGGTACATTTCCTAACCACACGTCAAATCCTGCATCAGCGAGAATATAACCAAGACTCTCGTTCCTAAGGTTTGTCAACCAGTTAGTGGATGCACATAGCAGACCGTGCTGTAAGAACACAACTGGACGACCTTGTTTCGGTGGTTTTTCGTTCCTCCCGTACGGAATTCTCTGCAATCCCAGAATGAAGCCGTCGCTTGTATTTACATAATGAGCTTCTGCTGGATATCCTTTACTTGTGATCAATTGTATCTGAAAAAAAAGGAATTATATTCCTAACTTTAAATAATTACAATATTTTTGTTGTTGGATCATAAGATCTAATGTGTGCGTCTATAACAAGAAATGTTTTAGCTCTGCAGCAGCTTGAAGGCTGACAAAAAAAAAATTAGAATTAATATTTTATTATAAAATTCTTTAGTATAATTATGTTTACAATATAATAAAATGTATACAATACAGTTGAAGGTGGAACTATTGCAAAAAAGATTGCCCATTCTAGTAAGAAATCATTCCATTTGATAATATCATGAAAGTTGTAATTTACACTTCAAATGGCATTTAAAACATGGATAGCACCTCCTGGAAAAAGTATGAACTAGATGCAAGTCATGTGGTCTTCGGAGTTTCATAAAACAAAAAAATATGGCGAGCGTCTATTTTAGTATGATAGCAGGCCTAGTTGCTTAACTGTGTGCTGATGTCAGGGTTTCAGTAACACTAATGAGGTCACACAGAATTTGGGTCTATGTTTATGCCTGATCACTGCACCTTTGGCTTCAGCAAGCAAAAGTCAAAAACACACATACACACGTCTCTACCAAGAATGGTCAGAAAGATAATATTTGTTTTTCTTTTTCTTTTCTTTTTAAAGGGGCCTAATATTGAAGATTAGGCCCAGTCTTGTGATCACAATTATCTAGGGTTGGCCCAGGCCAGGGCCTACTTAATAATTCATATGGTAATCTGGTTTTATCCTGTTGCTGACCTTGGATCTATGTTTTCAAATTACTCCACTACTCTTGTTTGTAAATTTACAACTCTAGTGTCATATGACTTTAATACAACTAAAGCAACATTATATTTTTACATAATATATTAAAGATTGCGGTACACCACACAGATATTTCTGAAAAATTGGTTGTTGTTGGTTGAGAATCTCAACAACAACAACAGTACTTTTCAGAACTATCTATGTGGTGTAGTAAGCCTTAATATATTATTAATTCACCATGCAAACCTTCAAACAATATTGTTTATATACTTTTATGAGATAAGACCAAAACATGCACTATATGCCTACCATCTTTCCTAGACATATATAAATCTAAGTATTTATCTTTCAGTGACAGTAGGCCTCATAACTAGTGCATTTAATAGTGCATTAACAATAACCAGAACGGATGTTTACGCCAACTCACTTTTACTTAGGACAACCAAAAGACTAGATTGTTTCAGACCTCACAAATTTTAAAACCACCTTTCCTGGTGCCTGAAAATGATTAAGCGACCATTCTACTACCACTACACCTCCAGTTTAAACTCCGCCAAGGAGTACAGTTAGAAACCAAGTTCGGCCTACCATCCAATAATTATGATGACGTTATACATGCAGATGAAACTTACAACATAAACAAACAAGGAATGCAGCATACATAGGCCTAGGCCTAGTGCCGTACTTGCCTAGGAAATGCAGATAAAGCTAACAGTAGAAGACCGAGATGATTAGTCATAGACAAATATTACTAGTACTGTGTAGGACTAGGCTACCATTAGTATAAAATAGGGCGTACCCAGTAAAACTTACAGCATCCATGTCGAGTTCGGGATCATAAGTGAAGACTTCATCATCACGACCACCACCACCACGAGTCAGGCTAGCGAAAACCAGAACTAAAAAAATACAAACACATTGCTGTAGCATTGCAGTCATCTATTGCATTAGAGGCCTATTTAAGTACCAAAATAAATGTACAAAATTTAAAAGTATAAAATGGATCTTATTGATCTTCAAGGACGGTCGGTACTACGAAATAATGACCATGCACAAAATAGTGGACATCAATCAATGTAAACAAAGTGTGTCATGTGTTATGTGTGGCTCGTCACGAGATTTTGATGGTAACATCCATTCTTAAAACATATTCAATTAAACACAATTTCGTAAAAATTATATAGTTTAATAACACAATTTACAACAAGTACACATAAATTTGTACTAAAAATCTGTATATAACTAACTAATGAGGTAATTCGTAAAATATCTTGTACTAGGTTTTCTAAAATCATTATTTTCAATTATATCTCCCCTCGTCTTCAAATGGAGCAATATGGAGGCGCGCCTATTGTGAACCAATCATTTGACCTTTACATTAAAATGTACAGAAATTATCGATTTTCCTTATATTTTTCAAAATAATAAATGTATTGAGTTTTTAAATATTATTTTCTTCAAAATTATATCAATAATTTGTCGAAATGTGTCAGTATTACAACGTATTTCGATAGAACTAAAAAATTAAGCATAAATTTAAATATATTATAGAATCGTAGCGTGGCCGCCGCCATCTTTGTTACGTCTTCCGACAAAGAACAGCAATTGTGAGACCCCCTATAGCAGCTAATGTAATTTTCGGGCATGTTCATTATGCCTTTTTTTGTTGCCGATTTTTGTGGCGATTTCCCTCACCGCTGAACTTTGTGTGGGCCGTAGTGAACGTTTGCTTTGACCGATTTCAACGGAACTTTCATCTTAGGGAAGGAGATATATCATATTTACAGTCATTACGTAATTTGTATGAATGTGTTCGTTGCAAAAGTCAAAATAATACACGTAAACTTGACGTGTTTTGATCAGGTTTTATCGTGGACACAATCGGGAGCACAATCGGTGGCTTTTGTCAATGAAATGGGTGCATCATCATGCACAGTCTTGGTGGAAATTTGAACTAATGCGCCGTCGTATACGTACGTATTAATTTATCAATGACCTACAGAAGCTATACAAGGAGTATAATCAAGAAGTAATGGCCCAATACTTGGATAAGGATCCGTTCACTTACGAACATGAGAAGCGTACGTTTCTGAACGACTTGCGGCAGTTTCACTCTTCGAAGGGGTAAGTCCTATCTATTTGTGTGTAGCTTGTCCCAATTTATCACTTGAATTTCGCTCCCTACCATCTATTGTTTCGCTTCGTGGACTTCCTTATTGTTTTCTTTTGTTCCACAGAACACCGTTGAATCGTCTTCCATGTATTGGGGGAAAAGAATTGGATCTGTATTTGCTATATAACAAAGTCGTGTCTCTTGGAGGATTTACAAAGGTTTGTTGTACATTTTGTTTTGGACATGGACAGGTTTGGTCATAAACATCCATTCAAACCCATGGCATTTGTCTGTGTTGTGACCTGTTTCATAAACAACTCACATCAGCAATCTTCATCTTCATTGACAAAACTAGTCTTATGCTAAGGTCATACTCAGCAAACCAATGACAATTCAAGGTTAAGTGTTTCTGATAGTGTGTGGATGCCCAACCCTCCCTCACCTCAGCTATGCCTAGAGACTCTAGCCTAGGCGAAGGCCTTGGCTGACTCTGGCCAGTCAGTGGTGGGCATGCTAATAATAATACACAATAACTTATTCTTCCTACCTAACCTCATAGGAATAGGAACATTAAAATTGGCCGTGCCTAGGCAACACTAAACAGGAGTCTACAGAATATGTTCATGAGAGGGTGATATCTTCATCATTCACCAGTATGTAATAATTGACTGTATGGCATAAATTGAATAATTTACAGTAAAACTCTACACAGATCATTTAGGTGACAAATAATATACCATGAATTGTTCTGCACAAACTAAACAATTTTCATGTCTCCTACTATAGATTGTGGTCATAAAACATCAATTACAATGTAAATTTTCAAATATTTACATTATAACATACTATAGATCATTATGTAAATATTTCAAATTAGGATGTTCAAAAGCTTTTCATACTCGTGCATCGTTGTCCTGTCAAAAATGTTATTGGCAGTTTGGATGACCACCGCACCAACTGTCTAGATGAAAAGATGGAAAAGCTTACAGTAAAAATCATGTTTCATGGATTTATACATCCATGAAAAGCTTATACAGTATTGATTGTACAGTAGAATCTAAATTTGAAGTTTTGTTGACTCTTTGTCCGCATGGAAAGAGCTCTAGCTACAAGCAGTTTATTCAGTATCCAGGAGTGATGGTGCTCTTAGCTCTGTGAGTCCCAAGTTAAAAAAGACCACTTCAGGAATTGTGGGCTGAATGGGCTTTCTTAACGTTATTGTATTTTCCTGCCTGCATTAATAAAGGCCACCTGACTTCAGCAAGACAATAAGAGGCCTAGTTCAGACTAGGAGGCTAAAACCGGCTCAACTCGACCCACCTGCCAGTCTGAACTAGGTGGCTTATCTCAAGCCGGGCTGTGTTCCTATATAGTAACTAGGCCTGGCGAGCCACCGTGTTTAACTTTTCTAAGCCGGGCTTTAATCGTTGCGGGGTTGACTTCAGGTAACAAAATTACCAATCAGCGTTCAATTACGTACGCTATGAGCGAACGTACCTTTGGCGAGCAATGTTTTGAAACACTTTTCCTTGTTACGGTTCATTATTACGCAAGTTCTCGTTCCTGGCTAATCCCTCTAGTCTGAACGCCCGGCAAAGTTAACTCAAGCCCAGCTAATCTCAAAGTCTGAACGTAGCCAAATAGTAAATTAACATTCTGGATTTTTGGAAGATGGATTAGTTTGCAGAAGGTTGTTCCTGTGAATGCTAGAATCTGTATCAACTTCTAAAACCAAATAAATTATTCTTATTATTCAATTAGTAATAATGTGTAACATGATAATTAATAATTGTAGAAATTTTGCAGTTAAGATGAACTAAATTCACAAAGAAGAGTTTTTTCTTTGTGGTTTGTCATGTTGACTAATTTAAGCAAAAAAAAAATTCTATGGAGAAGTATACATGACTATGACAAAGAATCATTGGCAAGGTGATCATGTTATATTAAGATAAACATCATGGTTATTTTTCTAACCCTTCATGGCAGGGGTTAATGATTAATTTTGGCTTATTCTACTGACGGTTTTATCTTCTTAATGTAAGTCCTCGTTATTTCAAATCTGAAATTGGATGCCCATCTGTCAACATGTGTTGATAATCAGAAAGCATTTGAAATAAATTTAAATATTGTGGCTCCTTGGTTAATAGAGCCGGTTATTTTTTAATCCTGCTCTAATGTTTATTTTCAAGCAAGTGCTGGGATTATTCATTTAATCATAAAATTTGTTTTACATCAGTATTGTAAATAATGCAATATAATATTACTTGCACTTACATGACTTGTAGAATGCAATATTACATAGCAAAGTGTAATTATTTTATTTTATAAGTTTTATTATGTTTATAGTTTGTCATAATGAATTGGAATACTTGCTTGATACTTGCTTAATGTTTTTAGGTCAGTTTTAGTAGAGTAAGCTTATAGCTTATAACTGTATGTCCATTCAAAACATCTTGATAATTCATCTACAGTACAGACACAAATTATCGCTTCGTATCTGTGCGTAACCTCTCGTAATCTGCTCCTAGGTACGTTTTGAACGTAGCTACGAACTACTACGAAGGTCATTGTTATTTTAATTAGCTTTGCAATGATTGTAGTCTGGATCATCGGACTGATAAACAATGCGTAAACAATATTGAAATATAGTTTACCAGCTTTCAACACATGAGCAATGTTGCAATTTACTAATAAACAATGTTAGAACTTTATTGTTTTGTTGTATCCTACCTTATTATTAGATCGATCATGTTTTAAAACTGTGTTTAGTTTGCTAGCTAAGTAACCTAGTGGGCATTCAGTATGTTCGAATTTCAAT